CGAACGCGACCGGGATTTTTTCCTTTTGTGCCCGTGCCTGTTGGCGCCGCTCTTCAGCTCTTCTCTGCCGTGCTTGGCCTTCAGGTGCGGGGAGCCATGGTTGTGGTGGCGTCGTGGGCTGCCGCTGTGGCTGGGGGGCCGGGCTTTTTTTCTCGAGCGCGAGCTGTACGTCCCAGACAGGCTCCGCCGGTTGTTGTAGCTTGAAGAGAAGCGTTGCGAGTTAAAACAAGGCTTTCACAAGGCAGAAAATGTGAAAACCCCCGTCCCTTCCCCCAGCCAAACAAGAAAAATCCAGGGAGAATCCCCTACTCACTGCCGCCTCGGAGTGTGAGATCGAGACCTCGACTTTGTTCTTGATCTGGACCGACTAGCACTTCTGCTGCTTCTGCTTCTCTTGCTTTCTTTTCTCATGCTTAGCAGGGCAAACAAGGAAGAAAAAATAAAAACCACCAGGGTTACACTTCTGAGGTACTTGCTGCTTCAGTTCAGTAGCTCAGAAGCAGCTCTGTACTTCAGGTGAAGAAACGGCTTTTTACAGATCTCTCCTTTATCAGGAAGGGATTTGTACCTACCCATTGTAAGGGCTCTTGGAAGCTTGCTGCCTCTCTTCTGGCTCTTTTTTAATGGCTTTGGTATTGAGAGATACTGGAGACTTTTCTTCTGTTTTTACTTCCCTCGGGGAAGCTGAGAATTAAATGTAGATTCAAAATTAGGTATTTTATTCATAGATGCTCTATACACCTTTACAAATATTTGCCCAAAATGTAAACACAAACTCAACAGCTGCTATTCCAGTCCATGTTTCCATTTACAGGCCACTCCCTAGAGCGAGACAACCACACCTTCCTCACTGAGAGGGTTCGGAGGTTTAACGAAAAAAAACCCCAAAAGGCAAAACTCTGGCACAGCAGCTTTCCCTCCTTTTGTGAGCCACAAGTCTTCCAAACCCCCAGCAGAGGTCCTGCCTGCACTCAAACCCTTCTAACCCAGGCTCCCAGAAAAAGCCGTCGCCCGTTAGTGAGAACTTCACCCTTGCCAGCGCAAAGACCGCTGGAAACGCAGACATTCTGTTCTTGGGCAGAAATAACTGGTACAAATACTGCCTTCTCAGAACAGGTTCTGAAGTTGAGGAGGCCACGTAACAAACAAGGGCCTCTGCCTGCTGCGCTACCCACCGGCGCTGGGGCGATGCTCACAAGAGCCTTTAAATGTTGTCGGTAGTTTACAGAGCAAGGGCAGCGTTGGGAGGTAAAAGCAGCAGGACAGCCCTGTCTGCCCTGCGGGCAGGGTCGATGCACACTGCAGCACTTCAGTCACCCCAGCACCAAGGCAGCGCCGTGACCTTCCCTTCCCCGTTCCCTGACCACCGGCTGCCTTCGCTCACCACACCTGCACGGGTGACAAGTCCACTTGAAAAAGGCAGAAGAAAATGTTCAGAGATATCTTCTGCAACAGGAAGCACAAAGGCGACTGCGACACCCCCCCCCAACAGGTTACACGCAGAGTCCCGGGTCTGGACGCGTCTGTAACATCACTGTGATTAACATCTCGCTCACCCGCCCGGGGAAGTACGGACTAAAGCGTCCCTTCCACCTCTCATCTGCTATTCCCACACATTGAAACCGGTTTCATAATTTAAAAAACCCCAAAAAGTGTTTGTTTTGCCTCTTAGGTCTGTGAGAACACCTCGACTGTTTGGCCGCTCACAAGACACAAGTCTACGTTTTTTCTAGCACGTTGGGACACAGATTTAGAAGGTTTATCAAATATAATTACACAAGTTTCTGTTCAGAAAATGGACTTACATGGTTTGGATGCAGGAGAAAAGCCACCCAGTGTTGAGAGTGCTGGAGTTCCATCTGGGTTTAAACCTTTTGCCTTCAGTTTAGCTTCCTGTAGTGCCATTTTCCTCTTTTCTACTTCTTTTTCCAGGAATTCATAATTTGGCTGTTAAAGTAACAACACAGTAAGAAGCTGAACTCACACAATTCAATTTTCATCTCCTTTCTGAAAATGCTCTATTATCTTTTAATCACCTGTCCAGCAATGTAATTTCCCTCATGTGTTCCCGCTCTCCCCTCAGAGAAGCAACCACACAGCAGTCGCTCTCCAGCCAGCAGGTTCCCAAACACGCTCAGACAAACACGAGGCAGCTCCAGCTGCACCGAGCAGGACGGACAAACACCCCCCAGTTACCTTCTTTCTGGTGTAGAGCTTCAGAGTCGTCAGGCAAATCTCCTGGATCTCCTCTTCCGTGGTGCCGAAGAGCAAGAACCAGTGAGGTCGGGTAGGCAACGGAATCTGAAAATAAAACACCCGAAAGCTTACTAACAGGGATCGCAGACCAAGCTTTTGTTTTAAATATGTTCCTTAGCTTTCCTGAAACCAGGTCAGTAGCTACAGAAGGCAGTGCTAGCTAAAGACAGCTACTCACCTGCAGAGCTCTAGCAGCAAGATAAATGCACGCACACGCTATAGTCTCTGGCTGAAAGCGAACAAACACGTTTGTTCGAAGGCTGTCATTCATGTAATTCCTAAAAAAAAAACCAAAACCACTTATGAAAGGTCTGGATCTTTTTATTTAGAGGACAACAACACTGGAGACTCAATTGACTTTATTATTTTTTCTGTATTATATTAAGCACTTAGTTTATTTCGAATTATTGTACTTGACATTTACAAGTGTTACTGCTGCAGTAAGGTTTGCACCGCTGCCGTAGTTTTGAGACCCCAATGCAAGTAACGGTTTGTAACGGCTACTTCCATTAAGTCATTCCATTAAGTTACACCGTGAAGTGTCCTCTGAGTTAACAATCCAACAAGTACTTTTCACCTGTCCAGCTGTTCGCTTTAAACACCGATGTTATCACATTTAAAAACAGATATGCTTATAACTCAAAGGCAAGCAGGAAAGCACAGTATAGCTGTAACCTACCATTTTCCAGAGGCTAGATGCAACCTATCAAGTTCGTAAAACATTGCATTTAAATCCCATGTGTGCCTGGCGTCACATTAAAGTTCATCCAGAGAGAGAGAGAGAGAGAGGCATCCAATCTGCTCACTGAGCGCTGGCACAAGGCCTGCAAGTTAGC